ACAGAATATTGTATATATAATAAATTAATAAATATTTTAAAAAAACCTTTTAAAAAAAAAGAAAGAAGCCAGTTTTGTATCCTAGAAGAAAAAGTCCTGAGAAGGTGTGAGGTCATGGGCTTCATGGTTCAGAGCTCTGTCTGCGTGGTAGCCCTGGGGCCATAGAGAACACAGGCAAAACAGTGACGTCTGTCCCTCACCTTCCTCCCTCTCAATACCTCTTGTAGGGAGATGTGGGACTGGCAATGGGAAAGCTGTATGGCAATGATTTCAGCCAGACTACCATCTCACGATTCGAGGCCCTCAATCTGAGCTTCAAGAACATGTGTAAACTCAAGCCACTGCTGGAGAAGTGGCTGAACGATGCAGGTGGGTGGCAGAGAAACGAGAAATGAGCATGGAAGGGGCCCCAGGAGAAGCCACAGGGGTGATTCTAGGGGTGTGTCTGTGACAGGGCTCGACCAAGTCAAGGCACAGAATCCCCTTTTTGCCCTTTTGAGCCTGGTGTGAACCAAAAGGTAAAATCCAGGAGAATGGTGAGCAGAGATGAAAATGTGTCTTTTTTTTTTTAACTGAGGGACTTTTGGCAGATGTGGCTCCTCTGTAACAGGACAGCTTGCTTCTCTTCTCTTCTCTTCTCTTCTCTTCTCTTCTCTTCTCTTCTCTTCTTGTTGAAGGAGCTGTGGTCTGCGTTCCTGCCGCCCTGCTCCCTGCCGCCTGGCTAGCTTATGCCCCGAAATAACAACACACAAACTGTATTCATTTAAACACTTCTTGACCCACTAGCTCTAGCCTCTTCTAGGCTAATCCTCATGTATTAATTTAGCCCATTTCTAATAATCTGTGTAGCACCACTAGGTGCACTTATTGGGAAAGATTCATCATGTCCTACCTGGCGGCTTGCTTCATCGTGTCTGGCTCTGTCCTCTTCCTCCCAGCATTCTGTTCTGTTTACTCCGCCTATCTAAATTCTGCCCTATCAGATGGGCCAAGGCAGTTTCTTTATTAGCCAATGACCTTCCTCTATCATCTTCCCTTCCTTTCCCTTCCCTTCCCTTCCCTTCCCTTCCCTTCCCTTCCCTTCCTTCCTCCCTTCTTCTTCCCTCCCCTCCCCTCCCCTCCCCTCTTCTTCCCTTCCCTTCCCTTCCCTTCCTTTCTTTTTATCCCTTGTCCCAGAGCTACCTATCCTATATTTCAAGACAGCAGTTTAGAGGTTAAGTTTAATCCACTAACTTAAATTGTTGTATGGGATCAGTCTAGGTCAGAAGATGGCAAAGAGGGCCCTGCAGGGTCCCGCTGAGTCAAAAGACCCAGGCCTAGCTCAGGTCTTTATTTGGCTGTTCTGGAGCAGGATAGGCAATTGCTGTGATGAGGACTGGCCAGAAAAGCATGACAGCCGGAAGGGTGATGAGGAAGTAGGTTTTGTAGGATCCAGGTCAGGGGGGTAAGAAAATTGGCAGGGCATTTGGAATGATGGCCAGAACTTGACATCTAGAAAGAGTGAAAGGTAGGGCTTCTGACATTTGGACCGAGTGAAACTGTTCTCCCTTAGGAGCTGACCTCGGCGTGGGAGGTGAGCAGCCTGAATCTCTACCTACTCTAGCATCTGCTTCACCTCCCCAGTTGAGAGACCTCCCACAATGTCTCCAGGCATTGCCAAGTGTGTGGGGCAGGGTGGCCCCTGGCCCATGTGGAGAGGAAAGGAATAAGCCCCTCTTCAGGGCTAAGCTCTGTCAAATAGGAGTGTAGGTTATGAATTACTACTCCAGTGTTAAAGGCAGGAGTAGCTTGGGTGGCCAGGCTGGGTCCCTTTAAGGAAGTCCCCTCACTCAGAAGAATACTTGGGAATTCTCTTCCTCCTCCTCCTAAATACAGTGCTCCCAAGACAACTTTTACTGAACCATCCAAAGAGAAGAAATGATAGAAGCTCCTAGTATCTTTGGGAAAGGGTTCGGGCTCACCATTACTATACCTTTTCCCCACCCTGCAGCCTTGGCTTCCACCTTTCACTCAAGGACAAAGGTCTTCAGAATACCTTAGATTCCTACGTGCCAGAGCAAACCCGTTTCACTCAGTATGCACAGAGCCCAGAGGGTCATATCTTTTAAAACAGGCCAGACCACGTGACTCATAGTTCTACCTCATCCCCCCCCCCCCCCAGGCCATTGAAGCCTCGGCATCCCTGAACTGTAGCAGTGAACACATGGAGACCTGTGGTGGGAGCCCTGGGGGACATTCGCCCGGAGCATCCTGGAGAAGCAGGACTCCGTCTGTTCTGGATTCTCTGCTGGGGTCAGGGCTAATTCTGAATATAGCCCTGCAGGGTTCGTGGGAAGGGCTGAGAAACCTCAGGTTTACTTCTGGCAGACTGGGCCAGCCACACATCTCCTTCTCTGAGCTTCATTTGTTCCTCTCTCCAGAGTCCTCCCCATCAGACCCTTCGGCAAACACACCCAGCTCCTACCCTACTCTCAGCGAAGTATTTGGCAGGAAGAGGAAGAAACGGACCAGCATCGAGACCAACATCCGCCTGACACTTGAGAAGCGATTTCAAGACGTGAGCAACCAACCTCCTAGGGTGGGAGTGGGTGGGCCAGTCTTGTGCCCGTAGGTTAGCAGGTCCCACATGTGCAGGAAGCTGGGCTCAGTGCAAGATGCTAAACAGTACTCTCCTCTGCTACACAAGTACCTGTCTTGGGAGGAAACCTAGTCACTCTTCTCTAGGAGCCCAGAAATGCTTTCTTCGAGAGTTCCAGAAAACTTTTCCTTGTTGACATGTATTTGGGTCTCATTATTCTTCTCACTGGAAGATTCAAGAACAAACACAGCATACCAGTAGGGCGTGTGTTTCTATATACATTTGAGGTGACAAGAGAAAGCCAGGGCATTATGTAAAAGTCTCCATCTCTTTTGAAACAAATTTTGCTTTTCAACTTAAAAGTATAATATAGGGCTGGCAAGATGGCTTAGCAAAGGGCAAAATAGGGCTTGTAGCCAAGCCTATGACCTGAGTTCAGTCCCTAGAATCCACACGGTAGAAGAAGGACCAGTTCCTGCAAGTTGCCCCCTGAACTCCATCCCCCTTGCCATAGTGTATGCCCCATTCTCAAATAAATAAACGTTAAATTTTAAGAAAAAATTCTAAATTTTTTAAAAAAGATTTTTAACTTAAAAAATAATACAGTTGGGCTGGAGAGATGGCTCAGCGGTTAAGAGCATTGCCTGCTCTTCCAAAGGTACTGAATTCAATTCCCAGCAACCACATGGTGGCTTACAACCATCTGTAATGAGGTCTGGTGCCCTCTTCTGGCCTGCAGGCATACTCGCAGACAGAATATTGTGTACATAATAAATAAAAAATAATAATAATAATACAGTTGCCGGGCGGTGGTGGCGCACGCCTTTAATCCCAGCACTCGGAAGGCAGAGGCAGGCGGATCTCTGTGAGTTCGAGGCCAGCCTGGTTTACAAGAGCTAGTTCTAGGACAGGCCCCAAAGCTACAGAGAAATCCTGTCTTGAAAAAAAAAAAAAAAACCCAAAAAACAAAAAAAATAATACAGTCATTGTTCATTATTAACAATTTGGAAAACATAGGAAGAAAAGTAGAAAGGAAAGATAGCCCATTGTCTTTTGTTTTCATTTTGCCTCTTGTCTGCCTGTCTTGTCTTTGCTTTTTAAAGATATGGTCTCACACTGGAGTTTACCTAGGTTGACCTGTATATAACACTATGTAGCCCAGGCTGACCTCAGACTCATGCCAATCTTCTTTGTGCCCGCCCCCAAGTGTTAGGATAATAGGCTTGTGCCGCCACCCAGCTTCCAGTGCCTTCTGAAAGCAATTGTAGTGTTGCCCTTAGTGCTCATTTAGACACTTGTGATTATACTGCACAAGTCTCTTTTTGTTCCACCAATTAGAATGTTTTGCTTCTTACAGTTATTTCTAAACCATGCGTTCATTTTTTTTTAATTAAAAGTTTTCAAATCTTTCCATGTTCTCAATTAGATATTCTAACCATAGATTCTAAACAACAGTCTTCTCAAGGATAGTAAGAGCATATTCTTGAGGCAGTGTCTGCGGGCTGTGAGCCTCGTGGGAGCCAGGGAGGAGTGAGAAGAGGGAAACACAGGCTTCCCCTAGAAGCTGTCGTGTAGCTTCCCCTAGAGCCTCGCTGTTACTGAACACTACCCAGTCTAGCCCCGTAGGTCCTGGCTGCTAGTTCTGCTGGCCTTGAGCAGCTCCCCCGCTGAGTCTGGCTCAGGGATTCCGTGGCTGCATCCTGCCAGCAGGATGGCTGGAGTTGAGTTTCCCATCTTTCGGGTTTCTTAGAGCAGTCTAGTTAAAGGTGGGGGATACAAGAATAAGGGAAAGGGGCTCAAGCCTCAGACTGGGTGGCAGGTCAGCGGGACAGAACGGTGACATCATACGGCCTGCAGCTCTCCCACACACCTGGTGGGCCTGAGCAGTCTAGCCTCCTCGTTTTCTAGGAAGAAATGTGAAGGGAGAGGTCACGAGGAAGGACTTAGGAGGGAGGTTTTCCTCAAGGTCTCCACCTCCCCTCCATAAGGAGGCCTTGCCGTGGGAATGCTCCAAAGGGAAGAGGACAGGAAGGGACCAACCTTTGGTATCCTCGCATCCATTCCAGCCCTGTGCTTGATGGTGGACACATGCTTTCTCTTGTAACCTTTACCAGAGTCCTGTGTGCTAGGCAGGTAGTCTCACTCCGTATCTGGAAAGACTGGGGCTCAGAGGTAATGGGAATTCCTAAGGACGCTCAGTGCACAGATGATAAAGTCAGTATTCCACCCTTGGTCTGACTCTAAGGCCTTTGACCCATATGTTCAATGTTTTGTGTTTGGAACATCCGACCCTCACCTCTGATCTCTGCTCCTGTTTCTGTCTCCTGACCACACCCTATCCCTTTGTCCCTATAGAACCCTAAACCCAGCTCAGAAGAGATTTCCATGATCGCAGAGCAGTTGTCCATGGAGAAGGAGGTGGTCAGGGTCTGGTTCTGCAATCGACGGCAAAAGGAGAAGCGGATCAACTGCCCTGTGGCCACACCTATCAAGCCACCCATTTACAACTCCCGCCTGGTAAGTGACTTGGAGTTGGCTGACAGGCTGGCTGCCAAACACTTGGGGGCCATGCACGTGGAGGCCAGGAGTCTGCCATACCACAGCATGGTAGGTAGTGGGCAGGTGAGATTCAGCCCATGAATAAACAAATAGGTACAACATGTAAAATATGCATAATAGAAGAAGATTAAAGAGGTGTGGAAGGGAAGGGGGGGCTGTTGGGATGGCTCAGCCGGTAGAGATGCTTGCTGCCCAACCTGATGATCCAGTTTCCATGTCTGAGATCCCCATGGTGGAAGAAGACAGCCCATTCCCAAAAGTTGACCTCTGACCTCTCACACATGCTATGTGTCACCCACATGCCCACACATATTTGTAGCATAAATAAAGTGTTATACAGTTAAAAAACAACAACATGAACAAGATGATGGGTGTGTTTTCGCCTTTTTAACAGGAAGGTTAGAGATGCCCTGTCTGATTAGGTGGTATTTGAATGAAAATCTAAAATTTTTAAGGGGATGAAATATGTGTATATCTAGGGGAAAGAGGTGGAGGGACCACCAAGGAAGTCTTTGCAAAAGGGTCAAAAGCCCAATGAATTCAGAGAAGTACCAGAAACTAGACTACCTCAGGTCTTGGAGTTCAGTGAGAGGACTTCGGTTGACTCGAATAGGAAGGTGTTGGAAAAGCCTGGATGTATAAATCTGAGCTGGTTGACATGGGCTGCTGAGTGGAGAATAACTCGGGAAGCCAGAGACATGCCAGAAGACAGCCATCAGGCTGAGCAGAGGAGGTGTGGAGGGTGGTAGCCATGGTGATGAGAATAAATGCTTGGACTCTGTGTGTTCTTCAGCTGTGAAGTCAGTAAGATTTGCTAATTGCTCAGATTCCAAAAACAGACTGTTTTTCCCCGGATGCTTTTGTTTTGTTTTGTTTGTTTTATGGTATAGGGTTCCAAGTAGTCCAAGCAAGCCTCGAGCTCACTGTGTAGTTGAGGGTGACCTCTATCTCCTAGGTGCTGGGATTATAGGTATGCACCAGCACACCTGGTTTTTCTGGTGCTAGATATGGAACCCAGGGCCTCCTGCATGCTAGGCAAACATGCTACCAACTGGGCTACCTGAGTACTGGATGCGTGTTGTTGGCACTGCCCTTTTAAAAAAATGTCGGTCTGGACATGGTAGCACACACCTTTAATCCCAGCACTTGGGGGGGAGGGCAGAGGCAGGTGGATCTCTGTGAGTTTAAGACCGGAATGATGTACATAGTGAGTTCTAGGATAGCCAAGACTACTTAGAAGGACCCTGTCTCCAAATGATGATGATGATGATGATGATGATAAATTTGGAAGACAACGAAGAGCAGGCTTGAGAAACAAAGACAGCTGAGAATCTGAGACCATTTATATTAAGTTGTGTGTGCTTCGTAGGCACCCGAGAGGCAATACCTAGCTGGGGTTAAATCTTAGCCTCTGGTGTTCCAGGAAAAGCCAAGGCTGAGAATAACTTGAGGTTCTAGGGAGACACAGAGGATTGGGAATTAGAATGGGTCCTGTTCTGTCTAGGGAGAGATGGGATTCAAGTTCTATGGAGACACAGAGGATTGGAAATTAGAATGTGTCCTGCTCCGTCTAGGGAGAGATGGGACGTGGTTAATGGTGTAGTTTTCTATCTTTGGTAGCGGTAAAAGGGTAGAGAAGTTGGATAAAATGACGTCCTCTAGTTTTCCAGCAGGCTGGTTGCAGTCTGGGTAAGACCTACATAAAAAACTCCCACATTGTTGATTTCCCCTATATATCCACAGACCAGCTCTATGCTGGTCTTTGCACCAAGTGCTGGAGATAGATGACATTTATTTCCAGTGCCAGGGGACCTCATTGTCTAGCAGAGGATACACACAAGTAAACAAGAGACAAACAGCACAATCATTTCTCTAAGCGACCTTAGGAGCAGCCCTAACACACCTTGGGGACAGTGGCTAGGAAGGCTTCCCCACGGGAGGTCATTAGTGCCTGAGTTGAGTTTACAGTGGCAGGTATGTGTGAGGTGGAGCTGTCTCCAGGGGAAGTGTGAGAACAGCGAGGTGGGGAAAAATACACAGCAAGTTCATGGAACTTCAGGTGGTTCCATGTAGAGGAATGTTGGAAGGTAGGGCTGAACTGGTCATGGGACAGGGGAGAGAGGAGAGTGTCAAGTGATAAACAAGGGTTATGGGTGTGGTTTAGTTGGTAGAGTGCTTGCCTACTATACATGAAGCCCCTGGCTCCACCTACAGCACCACCATGGAGTCTCAACACCTGGGGTGGCTCAGAAGTTATCCTTTGTTACTCAGCAAATACATGAGGCCCTACGTCAAAAACAAACAAAAATATAAGCAAAAGGCCTCAGTTAATAAACTCAGAGCTGGCTTGGAGCAGGGAAAGCAGTGGAAGGGGAAGCCTGGGAATGACTCAGAGTGTTCCGGCTGGGCTAGCTGGGTAAATGGTTAGCATTCTGTGTGGACCCAGCAAACAGGACCAGCTGGTTTTGGGGTGCGGAAAGGTAGTGCTCCAGTTCTTTGCGTCGTCATGATGTAGGCCTGCAGCACACTTAAGTGGGACTGTCCCTGGAGGCTTGGGACATTGGCTACAGGGGCCAGGAGAGAAGCTGGGAGGAAGCTGGGACTATCACAAGCAGGTGGCCGTTGAAGTCCTGGGTAAGAAGAATTCCATTATGGAATTTGTATAAAGACAGAAAGGTTCACTTCTACCCTCTGGTGACATCAGTCATTTGAGAACAAGAGGATCAAGGGAAGAACCCGAGAAGGAAGAGACTGATAATGCGGGAAGTAAAACCAAGTGTGTGTGAGAGATCTAGCCTGGTGAGTCCCACAGCAGCATTGTGGGAATGCAGATAAAAGACACTCAACTCTCTGGGCGAATTTAATCCCAGCACTTGGGAGGCGAGGCAGGTAGATCTCAGAGTTTGAGGTCAGCCTTGTTTACAAAGTGAGTTCCAGGGTAGCCAAGGCTATACAGAGAAACCCTGTCTTAAAAATAAAAAATTAAAAAAAAATAAATAAAGTTAAAAAGTCAGCATGGCAGCATTGGGGAGCCCATGATTTGCCTGAAGAACATGAAGTATCAAGAGTGCTTTAGTAGGCAGAAAGAGGAGCCTGTGAGAAAGCATGCACTTAAAAAACCACAGACTAGGGCTAGAGAGATGGTTCAGCAGGCAACAGCACTAGCTGTCTTCCAGAGGAATCCAGGTTCAATTTCCAGAACCCACATGACCGCTCACTCACAACTGTTCAGGGGATCCTCTGATGTCTTCTGGTCTTTGCAGGCACCTGGCATGCCCAGGGTGCACTGACATACATGCAGGCAATATACCCGTACACACAAAATAAAATTAAATAAATCTTTTAAAAAAATAAGCTTCTCTAGATAGAAATGGTCATATCATGCCTGGAAGACAAGAGTTCCACACCCAATGTCATGTAGGTTGGATGAAGGAGTGTCTTCTGATCCTGTCTTTTCTTCGGGTCTTGGTGGAATGAAAACTGATGTCTTTTATTTCTGACACATAGCAATCTCGAGCTAGCTAAGTCAGAAAAGTAAATTAATAGGAACTGGAGAGATGGCTCCGTGGTTAAGAGTTCATCCTGCTCTTGCAGAGGACCTGAGTTTAGTTTCCAGCACCCTCCTGTGCACCCAGCTACCAGCTCCAGGGTATCTGATGCCCTCTTCTAGCCTTTGTGGGCACTGCAGGCACATGCACCCCCCCACACACATACCAGCACATGTATACATAATTAAAAATAAAATCTTTTAAGAAATAAACAATAAAATTTTAAAAGGGGCTGGAAGGTATATGTAGCTCAATGTTATATATAACCCTGACTTAGCATATATAAGACCATTGCCTCAGTCCCCAGCAAAACATACACACACACACACACACACACACACAAAGCATCTTGGTACTGTTTTGCTACCATATGTAAAAACAATGCTTAAAGTAAGGGACCATATATATGTATGTTTGCATATGCAGAGCCCATCTTTAGCTGGAAGTGGAGGAAGCAATCACAGTGACTGTACACACTATTATTTATTTGAAAACAACAGGGTTCTTGGGTGTGGCATCTGGGAGAGGAGGAGAGGAGGTGACTGATAGCATCTCTAACCACTCTGCCACACCTCCCAAACTGCCTCCACCCCTCCAGGCCCTGTTCATTGTAAACCGAAGGGTAAGAAGAAGAGAAGGAGTTCTGATTAGTTAGGAAAGGAAAACAGGCTACTTCCTGCTGGAGGGGCTGTTCCAGAGTTGTTTGGGATCCTAGTAGATGGCAGGTCCCTAAGTGGAGTCTCTGTATCAATATCCTATGAAAATGCTGGTCAGAGCTTCCTGGTCAACAGGAGAAAAGTAAGAGGGGCAAGAATATGCAGATCTGAGCTCAAAGGTGGCGCTAAGAAAGCACCTAAAGATAACCAACAATCCACAGCCCTTTTCTTTCGGGAGCAAGGCAGCTAACCTTTAACAAGCTGGTGCTCTTTGCCAGCCACAGGGCTGGAACCTTTATAGACATTATCTCATTAAATCTTAATTAAAAGAAATATCAGGGAGGTGCTGCTGCTGTTTCACAGATGAGAAAACCAAGCCTCCCTGGGGTTGATAGCTTACTCATAGTCACGCAGACCGTGGGTGACACGGCCAGGTCTCACACCCAGATCTGTCCACTCATTATTTCTTATCCTAGGCTACTCTTGGATAATCATAGTGAGGGGTAGGTTCCTGAACTGGGAGATTAAATGTGGGGGGGGGGGGGATGGGAGTGGGGGGAAGGCAGAGGGCAACATTGGGTATTTTCCTCAATTGCTTTTCATCTTATTTTTTGAGATGGGGTCTTTCACGGACCCTGGAGCTCCCTGGTTTGGCTACACTGGTTGAAGCCCAGGGATTCTCTTTGTCTTCCCTTCTCAGCTTGGGATTGCAGGCTGTGACTGTTAAGAGGCAGCCACTTTAGTGACTGAGCCAAGGTGTCTCCCTAGTCCTGAATGGCCCCTTCTGGTGTTTTAAGTCTCTACCTGCTTGCTTTTTTTTTTCTTGACAGTGTCTTGCTATGCATCCCTAGCTGACTCAGAACTTATAGTAGTCCCCTTGCCTCAGTCTCCCAAGCACTGAGATTATAAGCATGCAAAGTAGAAATAGAGCAGGCAGTCAGCAACATCTGCCAGAGCAAGGGCCTCAAAGACTTGCTCATCTCTCCTCGGGGCACTGGCACAAACCTCCATCCTGGCAGTACCAGAGGAACTTTGCCAGGGGCACCAGCAGGAGGGGGAGTGGTCTGTGTCAGCACCAGGGAGCTTCTGCAGCAGGCCAGAAGTGGGTCCTGATGGCTGTATGTAGTCCACAGGTCTTCCTATGACGCACAAGGTGAAAATTATGGAGCAGGAGGTCACTGAGGAAGGCGAACTGCTCTCTGCAGCCTTTCACCCAGTGTCCTGGCAGAAAAAAGAAGGACGCAGCATGGACATTCACAGGCTTCTCTTGCCTTTCAGGTCTCTCCATCAGGATCTCTGGGTGCCCTCTCCGTCCCTCCTGTCCACAGTACCATGCCTGGAACAGGTGAGCTTCCGAAGAGGTTTCCAGACAACACAGGATTAATCTAAATAATATATTAAAACTGAAAGGACCTAGGTGTGGTGGTGCATACCTTTAATTCCAGCACTTGGAAGATAGAGGCAGGTGTTCGAGGCAGCCTGGTCTACAGAGCAAGTTCCAGGACAGCGAGAGCTACCTTGAGGAATCTTGTCTCAAACAAAACAAAGCAAAACAAAAAGCCTTAAAAGAGCCTTAAAAGGCTCTTCACCTAAGTCAGCATTTCCTCAGTGTGTCTCAAAGGACATTAAAAATAAGGGCTGGGAAGAATAGGGTTCTGTGGTCACATAAGTTTGGAAAATATTGGTAAGCAAAGTTTAAACAAACGCTTGTTTTTATTTTACTTGCAACATTGCTCAGCACTCAAGGGTATAACACATTCCAAAGTGAATTGTATGAAAAACCTGGAGGAAGACAGGCTTCCAGAACACATTTTCAGGGTTCTGTTTCTCCCAAAGCACCTGTAGCATTTCACAGACCTAGATAAGGATATGTCCAAGCCTCATATGCTGATCTCTGCATGATCTACTTTTTTTTCCCTTTCTAATCTTAGTTTGAATAGTAAAATATATAGCGCTCTATGCATGAAACACATATTGGGATTCCAAACAAGAAGAATATCTACTTAGTGCAAACCTGCTCTTTTACAGAGGATGACCATGAGTTCCAGGGTGGATCAGGACAGGCCCAGGGCCAAGACAAGGCTTGGGTTCCCTTTAAGGGGACCATGTCCATTTTCTTTGTAGAGTCAGGGAACTGAGAGTCTGGCAGCCTCTCTGCTCTCCCGTATGCCTCATGCTTTCTCCCCATGCCTCTTCCTTTCCCGAGCTTCAACATCTTCTCCCCTCCTGCCCAGGGCGTGTCCCGCAGATTTTGGCATCTGTCCTCCATGCCTTTGGCAAGTCTTGGACTGACAGAACCAGCCGCACTGCTCTGAGGGCCTGGGCTGCCGAGAGCACTTGAAATAAAGGCCCCGCCAAGGATGGGCTGATGGGTGGGCCTTGCTGTTCACAGGGTAGAAGGTGGGCAGACGGGGGGGGGGCGCATAGGGGGATGGTAAGGTGCCCTTTGGGGATTCCAAGAGAAAATTATGTGTTGGAAAGGCTGTGTCACAAAGGTCCCCAGGCCCAGCAACATTATTTTGGCCTTGTTTTTGTCTCTCTTTGTCCTCAGTAACGTCATCCTGTTCCCCCGGGAACAACAGCAGGCCTTCGTCTCCTGGCTCAGGACTCCATGCCAGCAGCCCCACAGCATCTCAAAATAACTCCAAAGCGGCGATGAACTCCTCCTCCGGCTTTAACTCCTCGGGGTAAGTGGACGGCAGCGAGGCAGCATCTGGCAGGCTCAGGGGCATGTGAGGAGTTGGGCCGGTGCCATAGATGAGAACTGGAAATGGGAAATGGGGTAACAGTGGAGGTGGAATGGGGGGGGGCAGAGTGAAGAGCTAGACTGGACTGCATCCCCAGGGAGTGAAGATTTTAAAAAGAAGTGGTAGCCGGCGAGCAGTCCTGGCAAGGGCTGATGTCAACAAAGCCAGAATTTCCATCCTCAGCTTTGATGGTGGAAATTTCCAAATGCTCACGTGAGAAAGGACCAGGTCCTGGGCTGGACTCAGGAGCGCTCCTCACCAGGAGCTCGAACCACAGGATGTTATGACATGAGTCTGGAGCTCAGGCATAGACCAACTCTGGCCCTTGGGTACAGCTAGCTCACAGAGAGAAAAGTGTTACTGAGATCTGGCTCCCAAGTCCGCTTGGGAGGCAGCAGGGCAGGCCCTGGCGGGTCTTAGCTCACAAGCCGAATAAACTCCTGGAAAAGGTATTCTTAGGATGGGTGTCGTGAGAATCCTCCCTGGTGCAGAAGACGACAGATTTGAAGCAGGTTGTGGCGCTAGGGAGACAGTTCCATCGGTAAGATGCTTGCTGGAAAGCAGGGGACTGAATCTGACCGCCAGAAGGACACAAAAAAAGCCAGGTGTGGCAGTATGTGCTTGGAATCCCAGTGCTAGGGTGGAAGTGAGAGGGAGAGGCCTTTGGGCTCCAGGCCAATGAGAGAACCTGTCTCAAAGAAGGCTGTTGGGGCAATAAGAGAACCTATCTCAAAAAAGGTGGGGACAACACCCAAGGTTGTCCTCTGACCTCCATATGAGTGCACACTGATGCATATATATATATGTATGTATGTATGTGTGTGTGTGTATATATATATATATATAAAACTTTAAAAAAAATTTGGGCATGGTGGTACACACCTGTAATCTCAGCATGCAGGAGGCTGAGGCAGGAGGATTTGGAGGAGCCTGTCTTGAACATGGACCCTATCTTTTCGTTTGTTTGTTTTTGTTTTTTCGAGAGAGGGTTTCTCTGTAGCTTTGGAATCTGTCCTGGAACTCACTCTGTAGACCAGACTGGCCTCGAACTCACAGAAATTCGCCTGTTTCTACCTCCTAAGTGCTGGGATTAAAAGCATGCATCACCACTGCCCAGCTGGAGGCCCTATCTTAAACACACAAGCAAACCAAGTTGAGTGATAGGTTACACACTTGAGCTTTACAGGAAGAGAGGAATCCATTTGTCCAAATGTAGGCAGTTCAAGTAGCTTCTATTGTCCAGATGTTTCATAGTCTAGGAAGTCAGAATTTCTGGGGTTCAGGAGACCCAAATAATATTTGTAGTATAATATTTGAGGTATGATTCATACGCCATAAAATTAATAAGGTTGTACAACCATTACTGTTATCTAATTCCAAAATGTTTTCATCACCCCTTAAGGTTCCCTCTACCTGCCTTGTAGCTGCCACCTTCCCATCAGGTTTGTAACTCTGGCTTGGTCTTTTTTTTTTTTTTCCCCAGACCGTGGTACCGTTGGAATCATCCCACCTACCTCCACTGAGACCAAAAACTTCCTCCAGTTCCACCTGGCCCCTTGTTCCCACCAGGACGCAGGGAGTCATGCCTTCCATGAATGGACAGACTACTTGGGAACGGGTGGGACAAACGGCCACTGCTGAAGAGCAAACCCACATTCTTGCCTTCTCGGGGATCCAGAGACTCCGGAGAACCAAACTGTGACTGCAGACCACACCGATGCCTCGCCGTAGGCCACGCTGATGTCTCAGGCTCTTGATAATCCTGCTGGGAGTTTACTGTGCTTGCCTGCCGTGCCTATGGCCACCTTCTTTCTCTAATGTTTTTGATGGCTTCATCTCTCGGAGAAAGGGCTGTGTGCCATTGGCTTCTGGGGACAGCCATTTGCTCGGTGGGCCAAATTGTAAGAACGGTAGATCATGGTTTTGGCTCTGACCTCGGCCACAATCCTGAACAGATCGCAAATTCTGTGGAAAGACTGAAATCTCATGTTTCCACCAAAGCCTTATTTTGTCTAATTATTACAGTTTCTAGTTTTGCCTCATTTTCTTTTGCCCTTGCTCCCTTTTCTACAACCAAATTCTTCCATTCTTGTGCCCTACAAAGTCCCTTCCTCTCTGGAGATGGCAGAGCTACCCTCCGATCATATACTTCCACCCACAGGTTCTCTTTGTTGCCCACATACACCCAAGTTCAAAAATACTTGTCTTTTCTCTGCTCCCTGTGTTTCTGCTTGTCCTGCCCCCTCTCCTTTCTTATGAGCACAAAAAATTGAGCAAACCGAGAGAGAGATGGAGGGAGGGAACGCCATGCCCAAGATACTGGCCACGCTCTTGTACTGGCCACGCTCTTGTACACAGCCTTTTCCTGTTCTGCACTATGACCTTTCCTCTTTAATGTTCCAGCAAGATGTCTAACTCAGGTGTGAATTTTGATGATGTCTCTGTAATATTTTATCTCATATTAGAAAAGGAGGGGGGATACCAAAGTGTGGGATACTTCCACAGAGTTTCCATGTGGGCTGGGGCTCTGCTGACTTTGGGGGGAACGTTATATGTGGAGTCTCCTTCTGTGGGCCTGTGTGTTAAGCTGTCACATGAAGCCATCCCAGGAATTAGTAACTTTTTTTTTTTGTTGTTTTTTAAAGACTGAATATCCAGGAAACTGTTGAGACTCAAAGGAATCTGTTTCTAAATATATTTGTATAGCAATGACGTAACTGTTCCATGTTAATAAGCGGCTGCGAGGAGGGTTCCGTGCCTTTCTGTGTGTGCAGATAATGGAAATGGGGTGGGGCAAAGGAGCTCCATTTGGAACATGAAGTGGGTGCTGGCGGTGGCTTTATTGACACAGGGTCCCGAACTTCTCAGTGTTCTACTCTGTGGGACAGAACTACTTTGGGAACTGAGTGAGAGACTGTTCCCCAATTTATAGGAGGGAGAGTACGGTGAATATTTAAGGTCATGTCACTTGAGGTGGAAGCTAAGGCAAATCTATCTTGCATATCCTAAATATTATCTTCTCAACTGTTGTTAAATACAATGGAAAGCAAAAGGTGTTTAACAGAATAATTTCATGATGCTATTTATTTCATGAAGACATCTCCACCTAGTGAGACACTGAAGGACAGAGAGCTATTATTGAGCTTTTTATTAGGTTAACATTTATTGGTGAAAGGATTTTTTTGTTGTTGTTTTTTTGCTTTGAGGTAGGGTCTCACTCTGTAATCTAGGCTGGCCTCAAGCTCATTATTTAGCCAGGTTGACCTTAAACTCATTGCAATCCTCCTGCCTCAGTCTCCTAAGTGCTAGGATCATGGGCCAGAAAGGCACCACATCTTTAATAAAAATGTAAAGAGTTGGCAGTTCTTGAGGTAAATATTGATCTGTGGGGAAGAAAGACCTTTTCGTGTTACAGTTGGTGCAGAAAAACAAAGGCAGGGATCTGTGCTGCTTTTCCATAGCTGCAGTCAAAATGCCCGATAGAACTACTTGAGGCAGGAAAGATTTCTTTTCGCTTCCTGTTTCAGAGATGTCTATCATAGCTGGAAGGGCATAACAGAAGGAAGTAATTCTCAGCACACCAGAGAGGAAGCAACAAAAGGTTTTCAGGAAGGACTCATCATGGCTAGATAGCCTCAAAGCCCTTCCCCTAAGTGGGCCTCCCTCCCCATATTGCCATGACATTATGAGTCTCTCAGAAGATTATTCCACTCCTTAGACCACACCCCTCATGACCTCATCTGGAAATAGCTCTATAGGTAGGGGCATGCCCTTCCAATGTTCCAGATGTCTCAAAACCCAGTCAACTTTCAAGTCAAAATTAGCCATCTCAGAATTTTACATTTGTTGCAAATGATAACAGCCTCAACATGGGAAACCTAGTCACCAATCAACATGGGTCTGTGTACCTGGGGTTTGAATGGGACTCAAATTCAGACTCCTGTTTGGTGCTATAAAGTGGGGGAAAGTCCTGCTCGTGGTGGTGACTTTTGAAAGAAAAAAGATGTAGTTAAAAGGTGAGCTGAGAACACTAATGTGTACCCACAGGCTACGCCAGACACAGGAAGGTTGCTTGAGTCTAGGAATTCTGGGCTAGCCTTTGCAGCATAATGAGGCCCAGTTTCAAAAAGAAAGTGCATGTAGGAGGCTGGATATGTAGAAGGAGCCATCAGCAGCGATTTAAGTGCCCCCTAAAAGTATATTGCCATACAAGCATGACTGTGTCTATCACTGCACATCCACATGTATTACTGACATCAGAGCTGACCCTTTCCTGCTGCAACGATGCCCACTTTGACATCCTGCCCAGGTAAGTACCTGAAGACAATCTCTAGCACCATCCAAAACTCTGGTTTTCACCCACTGGTCCACATTTTGTCTAAAAAATAGACAGAATGGTGGAGGCAGGTGGATCACTGTGAGTTAAAGGCTAGCTTGATCGATATAGTGAGTTCCTGGCCAGACAGGGTGACAAAGAGAGACTGTGACTCAAAAACAAAAATAAATACAAAAAGGTAGCCTAACTGCTTGGCCTCTAATAGCTCCTGCTGCTCACTGACTGGGGAGACTCTGAGCAGAACCAAATTTGCAGGTGGGCATTGGTTCAGCATTCATATCTGCAGGAGTCTGTAGAATTCATAATCCAAAGAAGTTTAATAGAAATTCATTTTAGCTGCTTTGCCATCTACAAGCACCTAAGAGCAACACGAGCTGGTGCGGGAGGTAAAGAGGAAAGGATTGTGGCTGCTGCTCGTTTCATGCTGTCTGTCTGTCTGTCTGTCTGTCTGTTTATATATTTACAGTAGGCCTGGTACTCCAATGTGGCTCAGATTCTGTAGGATTTTTTGTGTTTGTTGGACCCCGTGTGGCACAGGTTAGCCCAAAACTCACTATGTAGATCAAGATGATCCTGAGCTGCTGACCTTTCTGCCCCTGCCTCTCAAGTACTGGGATTACAGGCCCGCGCAGCTTTGCCCAGCTTCCAAAGCAAAGGAAGAGCTTTGGGTCCAACCAGGGGATGATTTGAGTGAGGGAACCTGCCTCTAGCCCCCAGGTGTCTGGGCACAGGATCCTCTGGCATATCTCTGGGACTCCCCTGTCCCCTGGATCCTTTTATTCTCTGTTGTCTCTAATGGCTAGGATTGTTATTGCATATACTAGGGCATTTAAGAGGTTTAAACCCAGGCATGGTAGCACATGCCTGTATGCATAACACAGGAGGTTGAGGCAGGAGGAATCAGGAGTTCCAAGCCAGCCTTGGCTACAATAGTGAGCTCAAGGCAAGCCTGGGCTAGGATGAGATCTTGTCTCAAACACTGCTAAATGCAAGAAAAAGGAATTTTAAAGTGGATTTCCTTTTTTCTCTCTGAACTAGAAAACTGTAAGCTTTTCTACTCACAACCCCCTTTCAGGAGAGAAATTCTTACAAGACACCCCACATTATATATATTTTTACATTTCCTGGTAGAAAAATCATAGAGAATTTCATTTTAGGACAATTCTTCAATGTAAATATAATTTTACCAGTTTGAAAACACATAATCAAATCTGCATACTCATGAAATGGATCTGTTTGTCTATTTTTACAAAAAGCTTAAATCTTGGCTGATTTTTTTTAAAAAAAATATTTATTATATATACAATATTCTGTCTGTGTGTCTGCCTGCAGGCCAGACGAGGGCACCAGACCCCATTACAGATGGTTGTGGGCCACCATGTGGTTGCTGGGAATTGAACTCAGGACCTTTGGAAGAGCAGGCAATGCTCTTAACCGCTGAGCCATCTCTCTGGTCCTGATTTTTTTTTAAAATTTAAGCTCTCACTATGTAGCCCCAGGTGGCTTAAACTCTCCGTGTAGATCAGGCTGACTTCAAACTCAGAGAGATCCACTTGCGTCTGTCTCCTGAGTGCTGGGAGGTTTCTGGAGGTTTGTGCCACCGCACCAGGCCTGGCTGAATATCTGATGCTAGAGGATGCAGAGCATTTTCAAAATTTTGCAAAGTTGATCAATGTTCTGACTTTATGATCTTCAATGCTGAGAATACTGTTTCACTTAAATATGTGGTACAAAAACGGCACAAGTATGTTGGGGGCCATTCAACCAACTGTTGAATTTTATCCTGATCCCAAGTCTAAGTTCATGTCACAAAATGTATGAAACCTACTGCTACTCAATTGGCTTCTTAAAAACATCATCTTTAAATTTTTCATTTATTTACTTATTTATTTTGCACCTCTGATGCAGTTTCCCCTACCTCCTCTCCTCCAGACCCTCCCCCCACCCTACACCCCCCTGTTCCCACCCCCAATCTATCCCTCCTCCATTTCCATTTAGGAAAGGGCAGGTCTCCCATGAGTATCAACAAAACATGGCATATCAAGTTGCAGTAAGACTAAGCACCTCCCCATGTATTAAGGCTGGGTAAGGTGACCCAGTATAGGGGAGCAGGGTCTCAAAAGCCAGTAAAAGAGTCAGAGATAACCCCTGTTCCCACTGTTAGGAGTCCAACAAGAGGACAAGCTACACAACTGTCACCATATATACAGAGGGCCTAGGTCAGTTCCATGCAGGCTCCTTGGTTGTTGGTTCGGTCTCTGTGAGCCCCTATGAGCCAGGTTAGTAGAGTCTTATGATGTCTTTGATCCCTCTGGCTCCTACAATGCTTTCTCCTGCAGGATTCCCCAAACTCCACCTAATGTTTGACTGTGGGTCTCTGCATCTGTTTCCATCAGTTGTTGGATAAAGCCTCTCTGATGACAGTTGAGCTAGACACTAACCTGGTCACAGGCAATGGCCAGTTCAGGCTACGTAGCTATTATTGCTAGGAGTCTAAGCTGGGATCTTCCTTGTAGATTCCCTTGTGCCAGATTTTTACCCAACCCAGAAATGCCCCCCTTTCCAGGAGTATCTTTCAGTACTCTCCCTCTCCACGCACCCATAACCTGATCATCCATGTTCCCATCCCCACCCACCCTCAGTCCACTCACAAAATCTCTTCTATTTCCCCTTCCCAGGAAGGTCTGGGTGCCCTCTCCTTAAACCCTTCCTATTACCTAGCCTCCATGGGGCTGTCTCCTCCTGTTTTATAATCCTCTCTAGTTCTGGGATTAAGGGCATGCACCACTACCGCCTGGTTTCTGTGGAAAGCTAGTGTGGCTACGGGGATTAAAGGTGTGTGTCATTGTGGCTACTGGGATTAAAGGTGTGTGTCATTGCTGCACGGTCTGTGTAAGGCTGGCCAGTGTGGCTGTTTTACTTTTCTGATTCTCAGACAAGCTTTATTTGTTAAAATACAAATGAAATGCCACTACACACATCTTCACCCGCATGATCTTAGCCATTGTGACAGGTGTAACAGGTGACAGGTGTAAGATGGAATCTCGTCTAGGGACGTTGAACATCTTAAGTGTTTCTCGGTTGTTTGAGAGTCTTCTATTGGGAATTAGAAATGTTTAGAAATGTTTAGAAATGTACCCCATTTTTAAATCCCAGTAGAGATCCAATTTTAATCCGTGGTGGTCTAATAAGATAAAGAGGGGTTATTTCAATTTTTTTTATATCTATTGAGACTTGCTTTGTGGTCAGGTATATGGTCAATTTTGAAGAAGGTTCTATGCAATGCGGTGAAGAAGGTATATTCTTTTGTGTTCGTATGAAATGTTCTGTAGATATCTGTTAGGTCCATTTGAGCCATAACATCTGTTTCAGGATTTTTCCTTTGAATATGAAATGTCCTCCTCTGTCTCTTTGATTAATTTGGTTGGAAGTCTATTTTGTTAGATATTAGGATAGCTACACCAGCATGCTTCTTAGGTCCATTTGATTGAAAAATACTTTTCCATCCCTTTACTGTGAGTTATATGTCT